AAGGGGAATTTAGGAGAAATACTAAAATACTGAGAATTCCAAGAAAAGAATTACATTGTGAATAAGCTACATTTGGAAAATATCTCTCATTGTCTCCTTAAGTCAAATCCTGGGAGTCAGTTCCAATCACTGTTTGCTATTTCCCTTCTATTTCTTCTTCTGATGAAAAGCAATGGATATCTGGCTTCTGAAAATATATAACTGCATTGCCATGTTATTTTAATAAACAAACAAACATACAAATGACATACACTTAGTCTGCCCTGTACATTTCTAGTCTGTTAGACAAAACTCTAAATTTTATTTCTCTCTACCTAACACAATTCACACTGACAAATTCCTTGACAACTTTTTATATCATCCTCTTTATTCTTAACTCATATTTTAAAAACTCTGCACTTTTATCCCAGTCAAAATATTAGAAAAGTAATTAAATTAACCTTCAAATAAGAAAACATTAGGAAACTATAAACATGGTAACTATGATAGTACTTCATAGCCATTAACACTAACTCTCAGAAGTATAGCCAGCAGCCAGAAAGACAGCATAATTGGTTTATTTGGAAAAGCACTTGGAGTAGGAGGACAGAGTCCAGTCATCAGACCTCACACTTAAAAACAAACAAACAAAAAAAAGCACATGGTGGCCGATCAGTACAAGCCATTTCTGGGCAGGCAGGACAGACTGATCCCTAGACCAGCCAGCCTTACCTCACTGCAAGCTCTAAGCCAGTGAGACCCTGTCTCAATCCCAAGGTCATCCTCTGGCCCACTGTGCAAAGAGCTACCAGTTCTGTGGGGATGGCGAGGCTGAAGGTGCCGTGGCACTGAAATCCCTGCAATCCCCACAGTGACAGGTTTCTTCTTCACAGACTGCTTGGTAACTTTTAGACAGCTTAGAGGATGGGGACTGGTCACAGAAAGTAAAGGCAGAGTTGAGGGTTTAGGAGTTTTAGTTAGCAACCCCCAAAATCCAGGAACGGGAAAGTGGTTAAATGTCGGGTTGACAGGAGTGACTCATCTTTCTGACACAACAATGCTTCCATGCAATGACACAAAGACTAAATTTAGAAAGCTTCCGAATGGCCAAGCAGAGGAAGAAGGCTTGTGAATGAAAAGGGAGAGCTAGGAGGCCCCATGCATTCCACGTGTGTCGCTCTGCATGTCTCTCCACCCCACCTTCTGCGAACGTCTTTGGAGCAGCCCGACAGCACAGGAACATGCTGCCTAAGTTTAAGAAGAAGCTCCAACAAGCTGACTGAGTCAAGAATGGGGACATGAAACTTGCACCCACAGTCACCCAGCCGAAGCACACATGAACAGGGGACTTGTCAAAGAAGCCTTCGTGTTGTTGGTGCTAAGTGGTGACTGTGAGCAGAGCAGCTGGGCTGGTTTTCCCATCTGTCTTCAGATATACCCTTGGACAGGACTAATGAAATTATTTGGGACTAATAAAAATTATATGGGACAGGAGGGACACACAGAGGCACTTTCTAGGCACACAACTTCAAACTGCAGAAAGGAATTCACACACACATACACACACACACACACACACACACACACACACACACACACACACACAAAGGGCTTATTTGTTCCAAATTGCCTCTAACCAGGTGGTGGCTCAAGGCTCAGTAGCCTTGGGGTCATGGAAACCCAGTGCACAGAGAGAAATCATAGGAGGAGAAAGTGGAGGACAGGTAAAGAGCAGGAGAAGTATCAAGAACCTCAGAGACACGGCAAATCACCTGACCAGAAGGCAAGGGGAACTTTGGAATGAAGGAGGGCCCTGTGGTCAAGCTCTGAAGCCTGCTCTCAGGAGATGGGGTGGAATGTAGTTTCTAGGATATTTCTCTTCAGCGAACTTCTCAGATCTGGGCAACTTAAAGGTTAATTCCCAGCTTGGCTTATTGGCATCTGTGATGACAGGCAGCATGGGCTCTACTTGGTGGTTATACAAACCACAAAGACAGCCGGAAAATGATCATGTCCTAATAATGCAGGCTGTGGAGGAGCACCAAGCCTGGGCAGTACAGAAGAGGTCAAAGGCAGTAAGGCAGGCAGAACTGAGGCAAGCTGTAGGCCTTGACCCTGGGAGAAGAACAACAATCACTATTTGGACAGACTCGGATGCTCTGAGTCTAAATTGTTCCCTCACCACCACCTTAAGACCACAGACATTTGTGGAACTGCAACTATAGACAGGGAAAGCATTAGGGCATTACCCAGCACACACAGACACAAATGTAACAAGCTTAGGTTGTAGTGACACTATTAAAGATGGGATAGTCCAGTATCTACTTTAAAACATCTGTGGTGTGTGTGTGTGTGTGTGTCTGTGTCTGTGTGTCTGTGTGCATGCATGCATCAGAATCTACCTGTCTCAGCCTCCCCAGGGTTAGGATGTACCTACCACCATGTCAAGTTTCATTTTTAACAAGGTGTGGTGGTTTGGATAAAAATGTCCCTCATAGGCACAGTTATTTGAGAACTTGGTCCCCAGATGATGATGATGCTTGGGGACTCATACAGCCTAGCTGAGGAAGTAGAGGTGGACTTTGAAATTTTATTCCTTCACTTCATGCCCTAGTTCCAGTTTGCTCTCTCCACTTCCTGCCCCTTCTGCTGTACCTGCCACTTACTACCATGCCTCTATGCCAGGATACTCTTATCCCTCTAGAACCATAAGCCAAAATAAATTCTTTCTTCCACTTTGGTCATCGTGATTTGTACCAGCAACATGAAAGTAACTAATATCTCTGGGTTCTGGTGAAGGACCCAGGTCTCCATGCTTGAAATGCAAGCATTTGCCGGGCGGTGGTGGCACACGCCTTTAATCCCAGAATTCAGGAGGCTGAGGCAGGCGGATCTCTGTGAGTTCGAGACCAACCTGGTCTACAAGAGCTAGTGCCAGGATAGGTTCCAAAACCACAGAGAAACCCTGTCTTGAAAAACCAAAAAAAAAAAAAATAATAATAATAATAAAGAAATGCAAGCATTTTACCAACTGAGTCATTTTTCTAGTCCCTAAAATACTCTTCTCCATGAAAAAAACCTGGAGTGCCAACCTAAAGCTCCTTATAGCTGACGCTCTGAGGCATGACACCGTGCTGAGGGTTCACTGTGTGCCTCTAGGGAAGGCGGCGGTGCGGGTCCTCTGAGATCAAAGCTCAGCTTGACTCATGGCTCACTGCTTAGTAAACTTAAGTTTACTCCACTCACTCTGGAACAAGTTTGAAGCCAGCCTCATACTAAGGCCTTCAACACCCATCCCACCCACAGCTGTAACTTTAGCTGTCCCATGGCCCCTGGAGAACATGAACCCTCAGGTAAAACTGTCCCCTTGACGTCTGCTTCCACATCTTACGTGTCCCCATTTCTGCCTAATCCTGGATGTGTTTTCCTGTCAGGTGCAACTATTCAAATCCTAGCATTTTTCAGGGTGGGGCTGGTGTCCCTTCAATCAGAACAAACTCCTTCTACCTCAGTATTCTAGACTTCCTTCCTTTCTTACTCTCTCTGTCTTCCACTGATATGCGTAATGCCACCACCCTCATCTGCCACCCTGCCTGCTCCCTTTGTCACAGGCCACAGTCTTAAGAAAGAAGCCACCTAGCACGTATCTCAGGTGTGGACTGAACAAGTGAGCATGCGTTGCCCATACATAGAGAAAAGTGTTTGTTTATCGTGAAACGTTAGGGTTAAAGAGTAAGGAAGTTGTTCAGGCTCAGTGCCACTAGGACCAGAACCTCATATCCTCTTCACAGATATTGTGCCTTTACCTCTAGATACAAGTTACAGCAAGCATGGCAAGAAATCAGTGTGAACGTTTACTCTTATAGTGGTGAGAAAGCCTTCCAACAATAAAAGCAGGAGAACTATCCGTGCAGCTAGCAGTAACACCAAGTCTGCATTTAGTTTACTCAAATCTAGTCTCCTAAATAAGGTAAAGGTGTTTGAATTTAAATCTATACAAAAATGCATTTTAAATTGATCTAGTTGATTCTTTATCTGATAATCATTAGTCAAATAACTTCTATAGAGTCAAACACTGAGCTAAAAACATTTGTCTTTAAGCAGTTATAACTGAAAATGCAAAGAAGATAATAGGACAGTAAGGGGCCCCAAGTCTCTTCCACCACAAGTGTAAAATCATATTTGTATGCACACAGTTCTGCATTTCAGTCAGCAAGCAGCAGGAAGAAACAACTAAGACACTTTCAAGGTCAGATAAGCTCAAGTGGCTGAGGAGAAGGCTTGGTCATAGAGTACTTGCCTTGTAAACATGAGGGCCTGAGTTTGATACACAGAACCCATGAAAAAAGATGGGGAATCCTATCATGTAATCTTAGCCTATAGAGGAGGAGACAGGTGGATTCCCAGGGCTTAAAAGTCAGCTAACCTAGCCCAATTGGGGAGTTCCAGGACAGCAAGAGATCTAGTCTCAAAATTTTGGCAGTGCCTAAGAAATGACACCCAACATTTTCCTCTAACCTCCACACACATACACTCACACTAATGAAATATAACAGTTCAGACAAACAGAGACACATATTGTAATATGTTATGAAAATAAAAAGGAAAATGCAACACAAATCTTCAAACACTGCCATGATTTAAGGTACAGGAACACTGACAGTGAGACAGGCAGATAGTAAATAGCTGTGTGGAGGACACTTCTGCTTTAACACTAGCAAAGCAAAGGCCATTCTTATCATTTGATCGTGATGCTTTCTAATATGAAAATGATGCATATTACATATCTCATGTTTATGAATCCTAGCACTGACCACATATGCCCACTCTATTTAAGTCTCTAAAACTATCTGAAATGTGACTGCCATATCAACAGTAAAATCAGATAACTAAGAAATCCTACTATAACCATAAATAGACATTTTAGAAACACTATTAAAATTGAGCAAAAAGCTATCAATAATTATTAGCTAACTTTTTATTATGATATGCATTGTAAATATATATTAAAATATTCTTACCTTAAGTATGTGCCATAGATGAAGAATAATGCCATCATTAGTCCATTTAACATAAAAATTACAGCAACATAAAAGCAAGCAGGATCTCCCAATCCTTTAAAAATAAACAAAACATATGCTCTAGCCACAAATTATGTTATGAGTCTAGCAATTCACATTAAACTGTGCTTACTGCGAAACGCTTGCCAGATAAACGGTTTCCTTGGTTGCCATATGAAAACAGGACACGAACGCAGACTAGTGATGAGAACAGTATTACAGATACACTGGTCTGAAAGCAGGGCTGTAAACCTGCTGAAACACCTTTTAAGGAGGTGCAGGGACTTGGGCTGGATCTGCAGTAGAGTAAGGCAAGAGCAACACCACTGCCTCTGGAAAGCCACCTCAGCAGCCACAGCAGACCAGCTGGAAGGAAGCTACCTTGGGAAGAGCATAGCAACTTTGTGGCAAGCACCTTGCTATAAAAAAAGCTCAAAGTCTAGCCTGGCAATGGTGGCTCACTCCTTTAATCCCAGCACCCAGGAGGCAGAGGTAGGCAAATCTCTGTGTGTTTGAAGCCAGCCTGATCTACAAAAACTAGTTCCAGGACAGGCTCTAAAGAAACCCTGTCTTGAAAAAAAAAAAAAAAAAAAAAACTTCAAAGTCCATGGAAATGTGGCATGTAACACATCCTAGGTGACACCTGAACCACCCTGCTCAAGGCCAAAATGTGACGAAAGAAGCTTTGGGTTCAGTCCACTTCTTCCAGCCGTGCGATTATATCCCGTCACCATGGAAGCACAGCAGCCTGCCCAAATCTGTGATCTGAAGAAGCCAGGAGTTACCATAACATGGCCGTTATTTGCAGCACTAAGGTGAAAGTCTATTATGTCCCAACAAACAAGGGGACAGCATGACAAAGGAGCTCACCCTCGCAGCTTTCAATTGGACTGAGTCCTTCTCCTCGGGTAACTGTCCAGCATATCTTGGTTTGAATACCAATCAAATCCATTATTTTGGTATAAATCCGGTACCAGCTGGCTAAGATCACCTTTTTAAAGAAAATAAATACGTCATAAGAAATAATTTTCATTACTAGAATGTGTTTTAGAGATTTTCATAATTGTCAAACTTCCTTTTCATGCCTCAGCTGTTTGACTCCCTCTATATCTAGACAGAGGAGGCTCGACCTCTCCCACACAGACTTCACTACACAAGTCTTCAACTGGTGACTCACAGGGAAAAAAACTAAAATAAGAAATTTGCAAGATTTATATTTTTAGAAAAATATAAAATTCTACTCAAGGAACATAAAAGACATGTGTGTGTGTGTCTGATTTTTCAAGATGTAAATCCACATCTCAAATTAGTTCATAAAGATAAAACAATCCTTCCAAAAGTCTCAACAGCTAAAATTGTCCTGGAAAAGTGAAAGAACGATTAAGAGGAGAATGTCCTACCGACTGGAACAGGCTGACACTGACAGAAGCACCAGCCAAATGGATCAATGTAAGAGTGAAGGTGGTGGACACCAGCTCATCTGCCTTCCAGGCAGCTGCACTCCCAGCTCCAGCAGCTGCCCAGATGGTTGGCAGCTGACAGCTGTCAACTCTAAGGAACTGCTCTGGGCTGAAGAAAGTAATAGACTCAAGGTCACACGATCATCCCCCGTAACAGGCTCATCAGCAGAAGTGATACCTGGTCCAGGGGCCTTTGCCACAGGAAGCCTAACCATATAAAGCTATCCCCGTCCAGAGATCCCAGGAGGTTTACTGGAGCTTTTGATGGGACTCAATTGCAGCTCAACCCCTTTTTATATCTCCTTCTGCTCCAACCTGGCTGAGGTGGGAACCCAAGGGCACCCTCTGATACCTTGCTGTAAGGAAATCTCCAGTTCAAAGTTCACTTTCAGGACCTCAAATAAGGCAAACTGGCCATCAAATCCAGACAAAAATGATAGTGCTGTGGGACAATGGTCTGTACCCTGTCACTTGTATTGTTTTTAATAAAATGCTGATTGGCCAGAGGCCAGGCAGGAAGTAGAGGCGTGGCAATGAGAATTATGGGAAGAGGAAAGTTTCAGTCTACAGTCATGACCCAAATGCAGAGGAGGCAAAATGTGGCTGCCTCGCCGAAAAAGGTACCAAGTCACGTGGCTAACACAGACAAGAATTACGGACTAATGTAAGTTATAAGAGTTAATAAGAAGACTGAGATACTAGGTCAATTAGTTTATAATTAGTGTAGACCTCTGTGTGATTTCTTTGGGACTTAACGGCTGCGGGAACCTGGCAGGACAGAAAACTCAAGTCAACATGATAGTCATCTATATGTACACTAAGTTTGTATATAAAAAGCTACTTGAAATCAGTGGAAAGATGATGGGTCTCTCATCAGTGTAAGTTACACAGAAGACCAGTGTGGAAAAAAATTCTTATTCTACAAACCTATCAACACAAATTACAAATAAGTTAAAAACATAAAAATAACTATAAAGAATAAATATTTTACATGCATGTTTAAAATTCATAAGTTAAAAGATTCATGGGCATAAAATGAAGCATAGAAAAGTATCTATAGCTAAAAAGAAAATATTTATTAGTTTGTCATAATAACATCTTATGTATAAAAAAGGATCTTTAAGAAACCCAATAGAAACAGAGACAAAGAGACATGAATAGGAATTATTTTGTAAAATAGAGATAAGTAGCTATATAGCACTGAAATGCATACATATGCATGAATGAATAAAATACATCAAGGAGTTATAATTTCCTTGTCTATCAAAAAAAAAAATCAGCAAGGATACAAATCAACATTTCCAAAACTGCTGTTGGCAGGAACTCGATCTGTATAACCTATGTGGAAGGCCTTTGGGCAATATGTCCCCCAAATCATTACAATACATATTCGGCTGAATTGAAGGGCTATATCCACAAATTCAGTGTTTTTTAACAAAAAAAAAATGAATAAATGTTTTGCTGGTGGTTTCTGTCAATTTGACACAAACCTATACATATTTTGAAAGAAAGATTCTTAATTGAGAAAATACCTCCAAAAGACCAGCCCATCAGCAAGTCTGTAGGGCATTTTCCTGATGTACTGATTGATGTGTGTGGGCCCAGCCCGTGTGGGTGGTGCCACACCTGGGCAGGTCATGAGAGCAAGCCAGTAAGCAGCATTCTTCCACGGTCTCCTCTTCAGTTCCTGCCTTGAATTCCTACTTTGGCTCTCTCAATGGACTATGGCCATTAGATAACCATATAAACCCTTTCCTCCCTAAGTTTGTTTATCATAGCAGTAGAAGCTAACAAAGGAAGATGTGTATAATTAAGATTTAGATTCATGGACATTCACTGCAGCTTTGTTTAGAATATGCAGAAGCTGAAAAGTTAAAATGTCCGTTAAAAACTGGGCTAAAGGAGACAATAGTAGATCATGCATACAGCCACTAAAACTGACGCAATGGAAGGGTCGTGGTAGAGAGGCTGGCTATGAATATCCCCCAAAGACAAAAGGAACACTTAAAATACTGCCCACACCCTGCAATCCCATTTTTGTAAAATCTACTTATATATAGTCACAGAAAATACTCAAGAGCAGTACTTTGTGGGAAAACACTGAACTCTGGAGGGCAGTTATTGATTACTCAATAATCAATCAAATCACTAACCCAGAAGTGACAGACATTCTCTCAGTAGGAAAAGAAACAAAAAAAAGGCCTGCAGACCCACTAAGGACATTTGCTGAGCAGAGAGCTAGACAGACACGGCCTGGCCATCAGGTGCCCTGCTGGGACCACATGTTAAGAAGGTAAAAGGAAAAAGTGGGCTTCGCAAGACTTGATTTCAAGTCACAAACGAAGTTGTTTCTTAGCCCAGGGTCCAGAAAATGCTTAAGAAATAAGTCAAATGAAAGCAGAGGGAAGAGACACAGGACAAAAATTCACCAAACACAGACAGTTCCCTCACCTTCTAATAAAGCAATCACTACTATAGCTCCCAAAATCCAAAATTCCCCCAATAAACTCCTTCCCCATGGTGCATATTTTCTACTAAAAAGTGAAGTAAAGCTTAGTATGGTGAGTCAGAACTGAAGAGTTAGAATCATATTTAATTTCTAAGAAGCAATTTCGTAAATGAAAAATCACAACTGAGAAAAGTAACAACTTACCTCAGGATAAAGATTGAACCTTTTTAATGTATTAATAACAAGGGGGTATTCAGTAAGCTTGTCATTCATTATCATCCACACTCCACTGAAAAATGAGGGTGCTTCCACTATAGTCTTGAAGTAAGAATAATACAGCCCCTGAAAGAAGGATATGCTCCAGTTACAATCAAAGGTACAGTTATTCATCTTCTTAGATTACAAATATTTAAAATATACTGGTTTAGAAAAACTGAGCACTCAAGCAGGTAATAGCTACAATAATTTCACAGGCTTTTGGTTACTTAGAAATTCTTAGGTTCCAAAAAAGGTGTATTTTAGAAGAATTTCATCTTAATTGAAATAGTTATGTGGAAAAATTACTTCAAAATAGCTTCCAAATTTAAATATGTATACATGTAATTTAGCATATGCCATGTATGCAAAGTCTATTGACTACATAAAATGGCATCAATCTTACTCCTCCACATTTACATTCAAAAATCCATGTGTTCTTTAAAAAGACTGCACATTATGCGCGTTCCTATAAACAATAACTTTACAAACCATGTCCCCACCCACAGCCACAGCAACGCCACAGATGAGCTGACACTGGGGACGGGGTGGGGTGGGGTGTATTTTGAGGGTAATAGGGACGTTTTGACCTGGCATGCTATTTTGAAAAGGGTTGCAGTAAGAGTGAAAAAACACATGAGACAAAAAATAAGAGGCGGGGCTGAATATATAGCTCACTGGCTGGGTGCCTGCCCAGCAATGCAGGAGGCTCTGCGCTCGATGCCCACCACTCCGGATACAGGCACCGCTGGGAGGCCAGTGCTTGGGAAGAGAAGGCGGGAGGAACATCCTCAGCCACAAAGTGTGAGGCAGCCAAGAATACATGAGACACCCCTCAATATAAACAAATAAAATTAAAATAAAACCCCCATTACAGTCCATGAAGTTTAGGCACGAGTCTGAGAGGCAAGTGTAGGGGACACAGACAGGCAGAGTGCAAATGCCACCTTCTTGGCAGCTTGAGCAGAGCAAGAACAGCTGCCAGGCTCTGAACACAGAGAGGGGATTCCCCAATGCCCACAGTGCCTTGCATTAGTTCACACACACACACTTCTTCCTAAACTTCCATTTAAACTAACTTAGTATGTTAACAAGGTCTCTTGTGGACCCCCACACTGGGGACTACGATTTCCTCTGGAAATAGGACCTATAATGACATAATCAAGTTGAAGCAAAGACAAAGCAGACCAAGGTGACTCTAAATTGAACACATCCTTAAGGCACGGAAGACAGACAAGGATGAAAGAGGCTGAAGAGGGAAGCAGCAACAAGTCAAGCAACCCCAGGCAGCCCAGGAAGAAGCCTGCCTGGTGCAGCTCCTTCCTCATGCAGGAAACTCAGAAAACAGATGCTCACTGCTTTCACCCCTCCGGATGGACACTGTTGCGGAAGTGCCTGGAACCACTGCATCTACCCTGGCCTGGGAGCTTCACTTGAGAAACATATAACATTTCATATAATTACAAACAGACAACTTCAATACTTAAGGAACAAAAGGAAAGAAAAGGCTTGAACTATTTAGCAAATTGAAAGAGAATACCAAGTAATTCTCCTGGTCACTCTGTCTGCTAGAAAACACTACGTTTCTGTTAATAACTGCATTTCTAGTCATGAGTTTGACATTGTACCCTATTAAATAAGTAATTTGAAATTAACATTCTCATACTAAAACAAATTTAATATCAAGTAAAACAGATCAAATCCTAAATTTCAATTTGAAAATCTTAATATAAATTGATGACTCACTGTTTTGTAAATAAACAAACAAACAAATAAATAAATAATGTTTGCTAATTCTGCTCACCAAAAAGGCCAAGTAGTGGCCCATGTAGTAGAAATGAGCACTAGCAGCACAGGGGTCCTGGTGTCTACACAATGTCTGGATTCTACCTGGAAAACTGGCTGTTACCAGGCCTGGGTAGGAATTATTGTACGGCACCCCAAAATAAGGAATCCCTGGACACCAAGGAAACACTACTGAGGTCACTGAGGGCCAGCACGGCCAACTGCAAGAGAATGGCCAGCTCCCGACACCAAAGGTTACAAAATACATTCCAATCAGTTTACTGATTCTAACTAGAAGATCTGACAATCAAATTATTTTTATGGAAAAAAAACATGGTAAATAAAAGAATTGATCATTTTCCTGTCTTTCCACTACGAAGTAAACCTCACAAAGAAACTAAAGCCACGTTGTAGGAAAATTCTTTACAGAGGTACAAGTCAACTGTGCAAGAAAATGGCAGTTTGTCTATTCTAATAAAAAGAGCGAACTACGGAGATGGCTGGGCTCGAGGAAGGACTTGGCAAGGACACTAAAACGTGTCAACCACCAACTGAACGTAATCCTCACAAAAAGGGAGCCACATCTTCCATTAGTTTTCAGAAAACACAGGAGACAGGAACAGGGTGAGAACATGAGTCACAGTGGACAATTCTACTGAACATACACATGTTTACTACGTGTGTGTGTGTATGTGTGCATCTGTGTATGTGTGAGTGTTTGTGTGTGCGTGTGTGTGTGTGTGTATATATTCTGGTTCTTCAATAGATAAATGGCAGAAAAACAAAACAGAAAGAGGGATTTATAGATTATCAGATTCAGCAATACAGCAGTAAACACAAGTGCAGACAGGCCATCATCAGCTGTGGAGTACCCATTGGCTCACTCACAGACCAGTTTACATTTGATGGTGCTAAGAAACCACTAACAGCGAAGAGTCCTGTGAGGAACCTGAATGTATTCGCACAAGAGCTAAGTGTAGCTTCCTTCAAACAGAGATGGGTAAGGAGGGACGGACGACTGTGTGGTCTGTCGTTGATGCTACACGATACGATGAGTAAGGAGAACCGTCTACTTCTTTTACTTGGACGTGGCTTTCTGAAACTTTTCACGCTAAAACGTTTGAAAATTAAATATTACAATGAAATAATATACACACAAAAAAACTAACCATTTCAGTGCGGAAAGCCATCTCCCTTTCCAGCGTTGAGAGGTGAGAAAAATGCCGGTCATTTTCAAAGAGGTGAGTTATGTGGCTCCTGCAAACATTAAAACAACAGAGCCAACAGGGTAAAGCTGTAAGACTACTCCAAAAGCAAAGAGGGAAGTCCTACAGATTGTAGACAGTTTGCAAATAAAACTGAAAAACGATTGTATTTGAATATGTTTTCTACCAGGTTTTAACAAGTCTACTAAAATTTCTCTCCATAAGAAAACACATTCCAATTAGATTTTAACATTAAAATGAACTATAACAATATTTTAAGTGACGTACTATAAAAATATAGATCACACTGAATGTGCCATCGGGTACCATTCAGAAACTGCCTAGATCACAAAATTCATACATCGTTCCATCCAGAAGATTAAAAACATCAATCTAACGCTCAACATACACCCAATATTAATGTTAAGCAAATTGGAGTATCAAATATAGCCTCTTTAATAATGGATATTTTTATTAAAAAAGTTTATTATTCTGATCCTGATTTATCAATTAAACTAGTCTTTCAGAGTACTGTGGTATATAAGATACATTCATCCTTATGATACAGAAATTATTCTTTTAAATACATGGGATATAGCTTTGTTAAGTTATAAACATCTACATAATACACATCACTAAAGAAAAAATGATCTTACCAGTGCAACAGGGCTGCAAAGGAAGCTGAAAGAAGAAAGAAAGGTACATTAGTTACTATTTTAGCACAAACACCTTCTCCTTACAGATCAGCACTTCAGATGAGATCCAGCACAATGGGGGGGGGGGGGCTGTGGGAAGGCTGACCCAGGCTGAGAGTCAGGAGCCATTACTGAGGCTTCACAAGAAGCACTACAGCCTACACACCACCACCACCGGACTGGCTGAGGCTGTGACCCCAGTTTCCATTCATCCACTCACTCAGCAAGATATGTGAGGCCCTATTATTAAAAGATACTGTACAGGACCAAAAGATGGAAGCAGCTACCAAAAGACTCAGGGAAACAGGATCAGTAGGTAAGAGTGCCTTAGAAAAAAGAACACATGACTGGTGGGCCAGGGTAACAAGAAAATAAATACACAAAGTATCACCACCTTTTAACTCTCCTAGTGCCTGAATTTTCACAGGAAGGCCCACTCTGGTTTGTGTGTGTATGGGGGGCCCACTTTGATCTGTGTGTGTGTGTGTGTGTGTGTGTGTGTGTGTGTGTGTTGGGGGTTATCTATTAGATAATTTATTTCTTTCCACTTAAACAAGTAGACCCTTTTTGTGTTCTCTCAGTAACTGAATTTTTCTTTAAAAGAAAAAAATCTGCAACTAAAAAAGAAATTCAAAGAAGGTCAAGGAAAGGCGATTGTGGAGGACCCCGCTGCCTACCATGCTGGGTCTGAAAGCCCTCCAGTTTGGCGGGAAGTGTCCATACTGCCCACACCCACACCAAAGCTCAATCAGACACTGGGATATTACACTAACTCCTGATGCGCCAGATTCTATGCTATACTGTATCTTCAGTCTCCGGGACTGGAGGTGAAACATTACAAAGCCAAGTCTCTCATTGCTGCTAGACTCCAGCTAACCAAGACAGAGCCCAACTCCTCTGCAGATGGGAGTTAGAACAAAGTTCCTGAATTTACTCTAAGACTTGTGTAGTAATATGGAGCGGCGGGGCTGCGTCTCCAGCACCCCAGCCGCCTGGCTAGCTTATGCCCGAAATAACAACACACAAACTGTATTCATTTAAACACTGCTTGGTCCATTTCTATCTAGCCTCTTCTAGGCTAATTCTCACATATTAATTTAGCCCATTTCTAATCATCTGCATAGCACCGCTAGGTGTGCTTACCAGGAAGATTCTAGCCTACGTCCATTCTGGGTCGGAGCTTCATCGCTCGCGTCTGCCCAGGAGAGGGGAGCCTGGCGTCTCTGAGCTCACTTCCTCTTCCTCTCAGCATTCTGTTCTGTTTACTCCTCCCACCTATGTTTTAACCTATCAGGGCCAAGCAGTTTCTTTATTGCTTAACCAATGAAATCAATAGATTGATATATGACACTCCCACATCAGACTTGTTAGCACCAGTACAGTTGGGGCACAAGTGAGTTTGAAATGACTGTGCAGAACTAAGTGTGACAGGAGGGTCTGAACTAAACCCAAGTCCTGCCCTTGTAGCACAGAAGATGAATTGAACCTTTTGTTAGACACACACCGATATGCAATCTTTTCTCCGATTACTCCCTGGAAGTTAGACAGTTCAGTGGGGGCAGCTAAAAGCCCAGCTTCAGGATTTTCTGCCACATCTGTGAGCAAGGCAGCCAGGATCCTCCTGCCCTGAGTTTGCCTCAGTTTGCTGGCCCAGCCACAGGTGTGGGAAGCAAGCAGCGGGACATTTTATCCTACTGGAGCTCTTGGCAACCAAGTGTCTCCTGCCCAAGCAACTTGCCGGATGATGAGTCCACATTCCAACCACAGCTCAAGAGTCCAAGGACCGATGGGCCAGAGTTCGAGCAGCATGTGCTAGGTATGAGCGACCTCTTTTCAAGATGCTGCACAGTGCTGTCCCATAGGTCCTCCCTCAAACACTACAGTTTGTTGCACTGCTCTTGGTTATATTGTGATGGAAAGACCCAAGCACTAAAGACATACTAAGTCATACACAGGGCATGGATAGACCAAGCTGGTACTGCCCTGGAAGCTTCCTCCTCCTGGCAACTTCAGTGGTGCTGGAAGGTACTATGCATACTACATACTCAGCAGTCTGACCCAGCTGTGACCCTGTAAGCAAGCTACAATCATTACTGCCCTGGCTAGACACACAACTAATGAAAGAGTGGCACAAATGTTAGGGGAGTAATCAATCACTGTCTGATTAGATTTAAAGCCTGATCCACAAGACAAACAACTGGGCCAACAACCTGTAGTAAGCCAGGCCATAGGCCCTAGGGGAAAACATATTACTATCATTCTGCTAACTGAACAGAGTAATAAAATGCCTCTTAAGTTATCTCTATACCCATAGATTAGTACATCTCTCAACCCTCATCAAGGAAGCTCCGTTTTACAGCAGATGATGATTAATGCCTAGACCCACAATGGTCAACATGCAGAGAAGAGGCTAGGTATGGTACAGTCAGCTCTAAATGGGGTGTCTCTAATACATCCCCTTCCTCCAAATCTTAGGAATCATTGCCAAAGAGACACTGGACAGCCAGAGGCAGCAGATGTCTGCAGTAATGCAGTATTCCCGGCATGGCAAGGCTGCTGCCCACAGGATTCAGAGGCTGTAACTGCACACACAAGATAGTAACAAGATCCAGCCAGCCAAAATCCCAGCATGGCTGCGGCAGGAGTCCATGGAGTCGCACTCCTAACTGTGGAGCTACCAGAAAATGTCACTGCTGCAGGAGAGAGACTATCTTCCTCGGGGCCAAGGCCCCCGGAATGCTGCCCATCCTCCAGAGACCATCCTGCACTAATGCACACCCACCCTGGAACGCTGCCCATTCTCCAGAGACCATCCTGCACTAATGCACACTCACCCCGGAGTGCTGCCCATCCTCCAGAGACCATCCTGCACTAATGCACACCCACCCCAGAGTGCTGCCCATCCTCCAGAGACCATCCTGCACTAATGCACACCCACCCCGGAGTGCTGCCCATCCTCCAGAGACCATCCTGCACTAATGCACACCCACCCCGGAATGCTGCCCATCCTCCAGAGACCATCCTGCACTAATGCACACCCACCCCGGAGTGCTGTCCATCCTCCAGAGACCATCCTGCACTAATGCACACCCACCCCGGAATGCTGCCCATCCTCCAGAGACCATCCTGCACTAATGCACACCCACCCCGGAGTGCTGTCCATCCTCCAGAGACCATCCTGCACTAATGCACACCCACCCCGGAATGCTGCCCATCCTCCAGAGACCATCCTGCACTAATGCACACGCACCCCGGAATGCTGTCCATCCTCCAGAGACCATCCTGCACTAATGCACACCCACCCCGGAGTGCTGTCCATCCTCCAGAGACCATCCTGCACTAATGCACACCCACCCCGGAGTGCTGTCCATCCTCCAGAGACCATCCTGCACTAATGCACACCCACACAGGCAGTGCAAAACAGAGAAAGCAGGTTTTAAACAAAGCACATGAAGATGAAAGGAAAAGTTGGATGGCAGGGGGGACAGAGAAGAATGGAAAGAGGGAAAATGAGAGGTGGACTTGATCAAAACATAGTATATTCATGCATGAAATTCTCAAACAAGAAAAAGTCAAAAAATTATCATGTATCATCAATAGTGAATTACCTAAATCAAAAATATGTAAGAAATAAAAGGCATGTATAATTAAAAAAAAAAGAGTTTGGGAGGGTTGTTCCTTTAGGTCCTAATGGTCCCCCAGAGACAAGGTAGGTGTCAAGGCAGTTAGGAGAAGAAAGGAAGCAGTCCACTGGGGAGCTCCTGTATTCCAGGCTACATAAGGACTGCCTGTTTCAAAGGCCAAAAGCCAAAGTTACTGCTCTCCTCTCCATACTTTTGATCTCCACAACAACCCTGCATTTATCCTCACTCCACATATTAAAAGCTGGGCCCTGAAGGTCCTTCCCCAGAGGCACCTGGATCTCCTTCCTCACAGAAGAGTCCCCTCCTTCCCATTCGTGAGCATTTGGTGAGCGTATCTTGCAACAATATACACATGAAGAAATGTGTCCTAAATCCAAATTTCAACATAGTTCAGTTCAGTTTTATGAAAACATGCTCACACATTCTGGTCTCATTAACCCTCAAATGGCAAGCTGGCATTACAAGGTCAAAGGTGCTTCCTACATCCATCTAGACAAGGTTTCTGAGTAACCTTGACAAGTTACTTATTCACAATTTCTAATAGCAGCTACTTCTTACTGTTTAAGGGTCCACTCCCAAGCCTTGGCTTCTCTAGAGGCTAAAGTCATTTGTAAAGAGCCTCCATATGCTACACCATTAAGCATCCTGGGGAATGAAGCCGGTTTCTGCATGAGCAGATCTAAGTACCTCTCCTGCTCCTTCAAACTCCATGGCCTCCATACATGGCTCCCATGATGGGCCCATACTTTAGCAAGCTTTAAGCTTTCTTTTGGGCCACCAACCGCTCCCAAATCATGACATGGAGTCTTGGTATTTGTTACGAATGCTCAGCCTTATCTTATGTTCTTTCCTTGCTAACTGTTTTAACTTATACTAACCTGTTTCTCACCATCTATTTTGCCTCAGAGCTTTTTACCTTTCTTTCATTCTGTATGCCTTACTCCGTATCTTACTGACTGGTGACTGGCTGACTGGCTGGCCCCAGGCATCTCCCTCTCATTCTTCCTCTCGTTCCTCTCCCATCCCTCTCGTTGTTCTCTTCTCTACCTATTTATTCTCTTAGCCTGCCAGCCCCACCTATCACTCTACCTACTGCCTGCCTGGTGCCATTCAGCTTGTTTTTTTTTTTTTCTTTTTGGTTTTCAATACAGGGTTTCTCTGTGGCTTTGGAACCTGTCCTGGAACTAGCTTTTATAGACCATGCTGGCCTTGACCAATCAGATGCCTTAGGCAGGCAAAGTGAAACATCAACATATCTTTACAGTCAAACAAAAGCAGCATAAACAAATATATCTTTACATGGTTAAACAAATATAGCATAAACAAATTAACACATCTTGGC